TATAATGTATAAAAGATATATAGTAAGAATAAGGCTTTTCTTATACTCTTAATAGGAAGATAAGAAAATCTCTTTGGTCAAATTTAAACAAACCTCTAAAAGTCTTCATCTACTAGACAAAATAAGACCTAAAAAGCATACAAAAAGGCCATAATCACAAAGTATAAAATAATAAAAAAAATAATTAGGGAAATAAAGAATTACAGAATTTTATCACTAAAAACAACTTTAATGGTCATGTGACTAATCCAGTCACTTTACAAAAACAGAAACTAGAATCCAGAGTTTAAGCAACTTACTAAGTTAAAACAGACACCAGATCAAAAAAGAAAGAAAAGCAAGAAAATCCCAATGATCATTAACGAATGCATACATTACCTGCACATCTGAATTCCGACTTCCACTTTGCAAAGCGAACGAACAGTCTTCAGGGTCCACTACAAGGGACAACTGTTTTGATGGCAGAAGAGGTGCGCCAGCACCTTGGCTGAAATTGCCTTGTGAACTTTTTGGACCATCCTCCACAGACTCACTCAAATTGATGACCGAGTCTCTAATGTTTGAGATGATCTCATTATTCTCAGCTAGCAAACGCTCCAAATGGTCTATTTTTTCTTGCAACATTGAGAGCTGGCCCTACAATAAAAAAGAAAAAGGCAGCTATATGAAACTCTAATATAGCTCTGCTGGGGCACACACATTTTTTTTTTTTTAATTATGTGCCTGCCCAAGAGGGCAGCCACTCACCCTTCACTTTCCACTTTTATAAGTGGGACCACAAAAAGCGTGGACGGCTGGCAGTGTTGAAACACCAATTTACAACAAAAAATCTCCGTGGCTGCAATCTTTGTTTAATCATATTTTAAAATGTGCAAGAGAAAAACCAAAAATATTTTGGGATATATTTCCTATTGCCCCCAAACCCAATCCTAAAAGATCTGTTGAGTTCTCTATAATAGCTAAGTATAACATATTATGTTCAGGTATGAAATTTTAAATTTTAGTTAACTGATTCTAGTTACTTGAAAGGGTCAAAAAGTATGAACCTGAAAAAAATCATTCCATTGTAGTAACCCTAGTGGACAATCCTAAATAAGAAATATCATCTACAGGAAAATCAATTAGTCAACCCTCAATTAGCCACATGCATGAAAAGTAACCACGCTATAGGTCACGTAGACTGCTTCTCCTACATTGTGTGACTTTAAGGGTTTTTTTTTCTTTTAAGATTTTATTTATTTGACAGAGAGAAAGCTAGAGACAGAGCAGGAGTGGAGGGGGAGGGGCAGGGAGCCTGATGTGGGGCTTGATCCCAGGACCCTGGGATCAAAACCTAAGCTGAAGGCAGACCCTTAACCGACTGAGCCACCCAGGTGCCCCAACTTTAAGGTTTTTTAATTGATCCTCACATTAAGAGGCTTGTCATCTTTATAACATAAAACTTGTTGTAGAGAGTAGTATTTCAGCTTATGAGAGCAAGGACAATCTTTGTCTTATTCATTCCTATATATAGGGCCTTAAATACGTGGTAAATACTTAAATATCTGTCCCATGGCCCTTATATTTCTGGAACTCAACAATAATTCTTTAGTGAGCACCCACTGTACCAGGCAAATGCTACATGCTGGGAAGACAGATACACATAAGATATGGGTCCATACCTGAACACAAAAAGTGGCACTCTCACAAGCAACAGCCTACCCAAAGTCCACACTAGGGTTTAATAAAATAACTCTATGCCCAGCGAACAAATAACTCTGGACACCCAAAAACAAAAGTTCTATCACCAGTAAATAACAGGAAGACAGAAAGAAGAAGGAATGAAGTAACAGGAAGACAGTAAGAAAGAGGAAGGGGAAAAAAACACCTGAATGTCCAAAGGTGAAGAACTGGTCAAATGGTACATCTATATCATGGAAATGTTTTCAGTCACTGAAAATTTAGAAATATTAATTCCTTAAAAACAGAAATACGTGAATCACAGACCTGTACCCCTGAAACAAATAATGTATTATGTTAATTAAAAAAAAAAAACAGAAATATATGGGAAGGTACTTTCAGAAGATACAGTAGAGAAAAAGTTTAAAAAGCATGCATAAAAAAAGTAGTAATTTGGTATCATCCTTTTGGAAAAAAAATTATGGAAGACCATAATCAAGATGGTAAAAACTGGTCACGGCATTCACAGGGAGTCCCCAAACCTCACACGGGCCAGTGCCCGCAAACCTCCTAAGGCAGTCCACCTTGGCACCACTCGGATCCAGGAGCGTCACAGGGGTCACCACTGGAAGAACATCTCTAGGATTCTGCCTGCTTCCTTTTGTGGAAATTTACAAGAGGAAGGTTGACCCGATCTTGAGGCCACAGCGGTCAGGGCCCCGCCGACTAGAGCCCCTCCAGCTCCGACCCGCGGTCCCCCTCCGGAGGCAAAAGCAGCTCCGGGGTGAATTCCAGAGCAGAGCCACCTCCACACCAGTTCTCCCACCCGATCCGGCACCACTGGCAGAGTGAGAGGCAGCCCGAGAACGAGAGCCAGGTCTCGAGGCAGCTCAGCGCTGCTGGGGGAGGCCGGTTTCCTCTGACAAGGCACAGGGACGGGCTGTGCTGGGGCGGCTTCCTTCTCCCCAGGGTTGATCCGGAGCCCTGTCGATACATGTCACTGCACCCCGGGCGCAGGGCTGTGCCCGCACGGGGCTGTGTCTGATCTGGGGGCAGCAGTGGGGCTGGGCAGGAGGACGGTGAGGACGGCCGGGCAGGGCTCCGCTCACTGTCTTCGCAGAGCCCCATGGAAGAAATTGGGGACAAGCTGGTCAACAGGAGCCTCCCTCAACGGCTCCCCGGCGTGGGGCACGTGCACCAGGCAGTCTGTAAGGGCTGGTGCGGGCTCAGGGGGAGTGTGGGGACGAGGGCGCTCAAGGACCAGGCTCGGGGAGGGCCGGGAGTGTCTCCTGCCCCGACGCCATCCGGAACACTGACGACCCGGGGTGCCACGACGGCTGTGCCCCTTACATGGCCATGACCTCAACCCAAGGGGTCTGGGCTGCTCCCTTCACAGACACACACAAACAGACACACACGCCAAACACACACACACACCGAGTCCTTCAAACACACACACACACACACACACCTGGTCCTTCACACACAGACACACACACCCGGTCCAGCCCCAGCCTTGGCCAGGTACAAAATCACCCTTCACATACGTGGAAGATGATCCGAACCAATTTGGATATTCTGTGGCACTTCAGGACACGGACAGAAATAGTTTTGCAATTTCTGTGTTGTGAATTGTCCCTCCTTTACCACAGATCAGCCCCACCGTGAACCTGAGTGGGACCTGCCGCTGGGGGCGAGCCAGAGGCAGTGGGCGGTCCGTGCTGACAGCCTGAGGAAGCTGGTGGAGCCGGGCCAGGCCCTCTCCTGTGGCCCCTCTCCCAGAGCACCTCCCAGAGGAAAGCCTCCCCAGCCCTTCCCACACCTGCTACTCGCCAAGGTGAGCAGGGCCCCCCGTCCTGCCCGGAGGCTCCCCCTCACCTCCGGGCTGTGTGTCTCGGGCCTGGCACGTCCCCTCTCCGAACCTCAGGTGTCTCCTGGGGACCCTGCATGCCACGAGGCCAGGCCCCACACACGGGGTTGCAGTCGGGCCTGTTGGGACCGCTCCCCGACCCTGTGGCCGGCCCACGGGGAAGGTGGCCTGGGGCTGAGGCGGTTCCTCTCTACCGTGAAGGAGTTCTCTGCCCCAAGCCTCGGTGTCCTGTGTCCCGGGCAAAGCCGCATTCCTGGCTGTGAGGAGGTTTCAGATTCCATCTGGGGTTCCCATCCTGTGTGGAGCCAGAGCAGGGATCCCTGGGGGCTGGCAGAGGGGCCCCAGAGCCACTCAGACATCTGAAAGGTGCTGGCTGGGCTTCATCGACTCCACACATGGACAGGAAGCCCCTTCTAGACATTTTCCATAATTCAGGGAACAGGGCAGACAAATGTCCCTGCCCCGCGGGCCTCTTTCTAGGTGGGGGTCCGCCACTAAGCCTAGACGACAAAGCAGAGATGGGCACACGATGTTGCGTGGGACGCCCTGCCGGCCTCCTCTACATACGGATCCCTCTGCTCTCATTGTCCGAAGGATGACGGGCCCTAGGACGAAGAAGAGCCCTTGTCTCAGAGGTGGTGAGGGAACGCGGGGGACCGGTCAGGTGCGGAGCCATGGGTCTCGTGCACATCTGCCGCAGGGCTGGGTCATGGTCCAGGAGCTGTGGGCAGGTCGTCTGTGCACACCTGGCCATGACACACCTGGCTGGCCCTCTCGGTGGGGAGGCCTGCATGCACCTGTCCCCCACCTACCCCTGGAGGAGCAGCCACGTTCAAGCCTTTCCATGTCCGACCCTCAGGGACAGTTGGGAACCTGGGTCAAGAGAGGCAGGGACTGGCCCAGGACAAATGAGGGGTGCAGAGTCCAAGGAGCTGCTCTCCAGTCCCAACCCTCCCATGAGGTTTGCTTTGGGGGTGAGAGCCCCTCAGATCCTCAGGAATAGCTACCCACACCGTCCCATGTGGGGACATGACCTTGCCATCCCCAGGCACGTAGAGGCACATGCACCTGCACACCCACCCCCACACCCACACACACACACCACTCTGACTGCCCAGCTGGGGGTCAGAAGGGGAGGAAACCCTGGGAGCGAGGTGGGTGACAGGGGGGAAAGAAGAAACAGGTTGCAGACAGCTGGGCCATGGGGCAGGGCATCAGGACTCCTGGCAAGGACCCAGATCCATAGCATGGGGAGGGGAGACAGGCCAGGCTGAGGGTCAGGGGTCCCCAAGAGGCTCAGGGCGGTTGCCAGGGCACTGGGAGAGGACACGGTCTGGGTTCCGGTGTCCATCACCAGCCTGGGCACTTGGAAGCAGGAAGAGATACCCACCCCCAAGTCCAGAGGGGCTCCAGCACAAAGGCCTCAGCTTACTCTTCTGTCACTTGGGCTGTAGAGATGCAGTGTCCCTAGGGTCCCACAGGCTTGTGGGAGAGCCTGTTGGCCTTGGATCTCCATTCCCGACCCCCTGTGCCCCCAGTCCTGGGAAAATGCTTTGTACTCCCTCGAGGTCCTTTGGAGCAGAGGACAGACTGGGAGCTTGGGGGGCTGAGGACCTGGGTACGCAGAACGTGGCAGAGCACTGACCACTAGTCTGGGGACCAAGGCCAAGACCCTCCTTGTTGCAGCCTCCGGGTCTCCATTTGGAAGAGGTTCCAGATTCACTGCTCTGGTCCGGGTGACAAGGCCTTAGGAAGGAACGGAGCACCGGGACAGAAGAGGGAAACACGGACAAGGGAGGCTTCTGAGGTTTCTCACATCACCCCTGGAGTCCACAGATCCTGCTCCTGTGAGAGACACAGAGACAGAGACAGAAACAGAGAAGGAGACAGAGAATGAACACACGACAGTGGGAACCAGAAGAAGTCACAGACTTTCCTCCATCAGCTTGGAAATGACATCCCAGCATTTGGCCCCATTCTCTTCCTGAGAGCGTGGTCACACAGGCCATCCACCCCGGAGGGGAGGGGATTCCACAGGGATGTGTGAGCAGGATGCGGGAATGCCCGGGAACCACTGTGGGGACTGCCCAGCACGTGGGCGCAGACGAGGTCCCGGGGCCTGAGCCTAAACCTAATGGGAGCCCCTGGAAGTGTGCGTCACCAGGGGACAAGGTCGGAATCAGTTCATTGCAACCTTCCCACAGGGGCTGGGAACAGGCAAGAAGGGGGTGGCTTTGCCCAGACCCCAGAGCAGACCCAGGCCCCTCTGAGCTGTGCTCCATGTCCCGCCCAGCCCCTGGCTCATCCTTGCATTGCCAAGTGTGCCCCAGCCTCCTGTGAGAGCAGGTCCGGAATGTATGTAGAGGTCCTACCCCTGATGGCTTCCCTAGGAGTAGAAGCCAGAACACCCCACTGTGCAGATGGGGAGCCTGGGGAGGCCCTGAGAGGCACAGGGTCTGTCCAGGGTCACAGCCCTGGGCACGCAGGGGAGCCCAGTCTGAAGCCAGCTCTGTGTCCTCACAGCGGGGACACCGGCTGCACCCAGGCCTTGGGAAGGCTGTGGGGGGGCTGTGAGGAAGTCACTGTATGGATGGGGCATGGGGGGAGGGGGAGCATTGAGCAGCCGGGGGAGGGGGCCCTCGGGCGGGGATCTTGTGTGAGGAGGAAGTTGGGTAAGGGGACCCCAGGCAGTGGTGACCTCACTTCCCTGACAACAGAGTCCAACAGAATTTGGAACCCCGGTAACCAGGCACCCACATTCCAGAGACAGCCCCCTGCCCAGCTCATTTCTTTGGAGACCCTCCAACAAAAAGCATGTTCGGGTGCTGCTTCCCCAAATCTGGACGCTGCAGGCTGAAGAAAGAGCGCCCTGCAAACGCTGTCCCCCGCTGGGGATGTCGAATCAGGGCTCCCCACAGCCTCTGGCCATTTGGCCAGAAGGACAGAAAGGTGACACCAGGAGGCCCAGAGCCTGCCACCCAGCCCCACACGCTCTGATCTGACCTGTGCAGCCCCAGGTCCCCTCCCCTCCGTGTGTGTGTGTGTGTGTGCTTTTCTGTGTGTGAGTGTGCGTGTGTGTGCGTGTCTGTGTGTGTAAAGAGGGGTCATGCAGGGTGGGGCCACCCTGAGCAGGAGCAGGCTGATGAGGGGTCAGATTCCCAGTGGGCAGGTCATGTTCAAGGTCAAGACTGTCTGTGTGGGATGGGGTGTGCGGGCGCTGCCCCTTCTACCCAGGGTTTATCCCGATCGCCCTGCAGGGATGGGTCACTGCATCCCGGGTGCAGGGCTGTGCACTCACAGGTCTGTGTCTGATCTGGGAGCAGCAGGGGGACTGGGCAGGAGGACAGTGAGGATGGCCGGGCAGGGCTGTGATGCCTCCAGCCGGCTACCCGTCCTGTCTTTGCAGAAGGCCACAGATGACCTCCCGAGGCAGCTGGCGGACATGCCCTCCTCCCTGACGGAGGGGTTGACCCCACAGGCATCCCCAAAAACAAGTGCTGGGGATTGCCGGGCAAGACCTCCAACACCCCCCAGACCACTGTCCCAGGTGGTTGGTCACCGGACAGTGGTCCAGGAGCCGGAGCCCACGGAGACCGAGCCCGAGGGTGAGAAGGCTGGGGCTGGGTGTTTGTGGTGTGTGGGGATGGGTCGGTGCTGGCCCCACAGGGACGAGCCCCCAGAGGCTGGTGTGGGGCCTGGAGCAACGACTGGGCGCAGAGCATCCAGCGGGTGGACTGCAGTCGGGGAGACACCCCAGGGAGGGCTCCTTCCTGGCTGCGGCTTCTCTGGGAGGCCCTGGGCTGGGTTCTGTCTCCGCAAAGGCCCACAGAGAGCGGGCTCGGGGTGAGCTTTTCTCCTCTCACAGCTGCCCCACCACCTGAGGAGCTCGAGCCCGTTCCAACTCCATCGGCAGCTCTGGACGGAGGGGTGGTGCCTGCAGCGACCTCAGGAGGAGACAAGGAGCCGGCAGGTGACCCGGCACCCACCCACGGACAGCCTGACCCGGACCAGGAAGAACTGGCACCTGCCCCTGACCCAGCTCCTACTACTGTTCCTGCCCCTGACCCAGCTCCTGCCCTGGATCCTGCCCCTGACCCAGCTCCTGCCCTGGATCCTGCACCTGCCACTGCTGCAACCCAGCTCCTGATCCTCCTCCTACCCCTTCCCCTGCCCCTGCCAGAGCCACTGCCCCTTCCCCTGCCTGAGCTCCGGTTCCTGCTCCTTCTCCTGCTCCTCTCCCTGCCCCTGCCAGACTCCGCTGCCCCTTCCCCTGACCCTTCCTGAGCTCCTGTTCTTGTCCCTGACCCTGCTCCTGCTCATAACCCTACCCCTGCCAGACCTGCTGCCCCTTCCCCTGCCCCTGCCTGAGCTCCTGTTCCTGCTCCTTTTCCTGCTCCTGCTCCTGCCCCTTCCCCTGCCAGACCTGCTGCCCCTGCCCCTGCCCCTGCCTGAGCTCCTGTTCCTGCTCCTTACCCAGGTCCTGCCCTAGATCCTGCACCTGCCACGACTGCTGATCCTATCCCTCCCCTTGCCCCTGCCCCTGGCCCTGCTCTTACACCTGGCCCTGCCCCTGGCCCTGCTCTTACACCTGGCCCTGCCCCTGGCCCTGCCCCTATCCCAACCCCTGCCCCTACTCCTGCTCCCGCAGGGCTCCCAGAGCCACATCCAGAGCCCACAGCCCTGCGGGGAGAGCTCCTTGTACAATTACCCTTAGGTCCATCGCCGGACCCCGACGCCCCACCAGATTGTTTCATCCCCTCCCCCTATGTTCTTTCTCTCTGGTTCATATTGTTCTAGTTCATATTGTTCATTTTCATGTTCTCTATACTGTTTATTATTTGTTTTAAATAAAATTACTTGTTTTCAACTGAACATGTGATGAGCATAAGTACATTCCCAACGCTGTGCCACCACACCCCAGAAGATTGCTGTGGAATATCTCATGTCTCAAAGGAGTCCCCGAACCAGAAGCCCCCCTGCCCATTTCGCCCCCAGCCCAGACCCTGGAAACACCTAAGCTGCTTTCTCTCCCTATTCTTTTACTTGTTCTGGATGTTTCTGTACATGGAATCATGCAATAGGAGCCTTTGTGTCTGCCCACTTATTTTCAAAGGGGACTCGTTTTCTTCTGTTTATTTGTCATAAAATTTCCCTTATTCGATATTGAAATCCCCGATTGATTACAGATCAGATGTAATCAGAGAGGCCACTTTAGGAATTATGGGCACAGGGGCGCCTGGGTGGCTCAGTCGTTAAGCATCTGCCTTCGGCTCAGGTCATGATCTCAGGGTCCTGGGATCGAGCCCCGCATTGGGCTCCCTGCTCCATGGGAACCCTGCTTCTCCTTCTCCCACTCCCCCTGCTCGTGATCTCTCTCCCTCTCACTCTCTCTCGCAAATAAATAAAACCTTTTTAAAAAAAAGGAATTACAGGCACAATCTCGGGGCAGAGACCCCTGTACCTGCTGGGACACCACAGCCTGACCCCAGACAGGAAACGGCTGGTTACTCCTGCGGCCCACACAGAAACCAGGTAAACGCAGAAAGCTGGAAGACACACCACAAAGCAAGGCCAGAGAAAGGTTTCACCTGACTCTGGTCCAAACCACGCTCCAAGTCACTGGGTTCCACAGGGATGGAGACCAAACACATGCCAGTCCAAGGGGGAGGATAGGCATGCAGGGAATATGTGTCAGAGATGTGGAGCTCCCGGGGAAGGATTCCGGCAAAGGAAACCCTATGGAGGCAGCGCTCATCACCCTCAGACTGGCAGGTGTCTGGTCTGGGGAGAACGTGAGGAAGTGGAGGTCCAATGCAGGTCCCCTGGAGGAAAGGGTGACGGGCACCCCTGTCTGGGAGAACAGTGAGCATCACCCATCCCAGGCTGCAGGTGCACCCATCACCTGGCATGCTCGGCCTCGGACTCACCCCCGGAAACTCTGGCTCGGTTTTTCACAGATCTGCTTTCAGGAGTGTTCATCACAGCGGTGGTGGAGAGAGCAGGGAATGGAACAACGCTAATGCCCAAGGAGATGGATGGGATCCATGGTCCCAGTCCTCATGATAGAATGCCCTGTAGCCACTGTCACATTGTCATTCGGGGCACAGGATCCGGGAAGCCCCTCCTGAGACCCCTCCTGCCACCCTGTTCCTGGGAACATTCAGAATTGGAGGAGGAGGAGGTGGAGAGGATCCAGGATGACACCGGGTCCAAGGAGAAGGAAGGGCAGCACTGGGAGGACAGATGGACGTGCCCTGAGCCACCATCCAGGACCCAGGCTGTGATGCCCTCGGACCTCACCCCAAATAATGGCTCCTGAGGTACAGATCCAGCTTCTGTGGTTTCACTCCCTCCCTCCCTACGTCATTTATTCACTTATTCATCCCCCCCTCTCTCTCCTTCCCCTCCACTCCTCCCTTCCCTCCCCCACTCCCTCCCTCCCTGCCTCTCTGCCTCCCTCCCATCCTCCCTGCCTCCCTCCCTCCCCTCTACCCCTCCCATCCTCCCTTTCCTCCTGCCTTTCTCCCCTCCCCCTCCCCATCCTGCCTCCCTCCCATCCTCCCTTCCTTTCTCCCTCTCTCCCCTCCTTCTCTCCCATCGTCCCTCCCTCTCTTTCCCTCACTCCCATCCTCCCTCATTCAGCACAGGATCTGGGGTCCCTGCTGGGTACTGAGCACTGGGGCTTCATCAGTGAGCACCCCCCAACCCACATGGTCACGTCCACTGTGGGAGGTGATGGGGGGCAGTCCTCACGGCTAGCTCTGGCGATGAGCACTAGGAATCTGCTCCTGGAAACAGGCCAGTCGCACAAAGAAAAGAATGGAGAGACCCGTGTTTAGCACCTC